AAATTTTCTCAGAAAGGAATTTTTAACCGCCGAAACCGTCACTTCTGGGCGCAGGAAAATCCTCGTGTTATAGCTGAAGTGGAAAATCAAATTCGGTTTCGTGTAAATGTTTTTTTGTTTTATAATGGACAATCAGTTTAGATATATTATTTATGATGAAAATTTGAATGCTGTCAGATATTTAGATATCATAAGAAATACTGTAAGAGATTTACCTTGTATAATACATTTATTTTGTGCAATCTACAGATTTCTTAATCATATTTTAATTTACCTAATCTATCCCGTGTACCAACAATGTAAATTGTTTTGCCGTCTTTTATCTGATGGTTGGGCCTTGCAATATTTTCTTCAGTGCACTTTTGCGATACCGATGTTTTAAATTCTTCACACGCAGCCACAACTAGTTTGCCAAATATCGACCAATTTTCTATACTAAACTGTTTCACTGGATATATCTTATTAGCTTCTATATCGCCTGGTAATGCAAAAGGCAGTAGAAGCAGAGAGTCCAAAAACAATACTTCTTTAAGCGTTTGCAACTCATGATTAAATTTTACAAGAAATAATGTTGTTGTTGTTGAATTTTGTTGTTCAACTAATTATTTTATTCTTAATAAATACTCCTTTAAAAGCAAAAGTCGTTAATGTTCGAGTATGCTCGCTTGCTCTATGATACATCATCGTCAGAGAGAGACACACACAGAGAGAGAGAGGCAAAACGAGGCGAGGCTAGGCTAGGCGAAGCTGATGCGCTCTCGCTCTCTGTCTCTCTTTCGCTCGCTCTAGCTCTTTCATTTTTTTTGTTCATTTTCCTTTCTTTGAATAATTTTATAACATTAGTCAGAAAATTATAACAGCTTATCAGTTATTATCATTATTCATTCACCTTTTGTAACCTTTATACACTGATGAAGATAACACCTGACCTTTCCAGGATTAAAAGTCGCATATCAAAATCATTTTGTGTACATTTGAAACGTCTAGTGAATTAGATGCTTGCCTCGTAATACAAATCCCGCTAAAGGCATACACACGTTTCTATACTAAAACACATACCTGCTGGTGAGGAGGTACTACGACCAGGTAGCCCCACCTGGTCTAAGGTAAAGGAAAGGTATAAAAGGTACAAACACCAAAAAAAAAACACATTTTCGGGTGAATCTCAACACCTGAAAAAAACGGTGTGCTCAGGTAATAGGGAGTGGTAACAGCCTCTGGTCATTGTCGACAACATCTACAGCTGAAGAAGTAGATGCGGATGGCGAGACAATGGTGTTGCGGATGGCCTGTCCCAGAACCTCGCTTGCTATACTACTTACGGTCTTTAATACGATCAATGTGGATGCTCATTATGTTAACTAACAAGTTCCATGTTAATATAAGTTCACTTTATTAATTCAATTAAAAATTGATTTAAAGTTGACTGTGTATAGTAAAAACGTTTTGATAAGACCTAAATTTTTTTTATAACTTTTAATTTAAATGTGCTTTTGTTAAGAGTAAACCAGAGGATAAACATATCATAAATCAATGAAACCGACCCGGACCGAGAAACCAAGAAAACAGGTCAATTGTTAAAAGGGCCGGATTATTTACTTTCTTTTTGTCTAAAATACTTAAAAGTGTATTTTAGTAGTTTTTGAAGTAATTGTTATTCAAGTCAAGCATTTTAAGAAGTTTAAAAAACCCAGGTAGTTAATAACAAGCTATTATTGAATAGGGCGGATTTTTTATAATAGCTTGGTAAAACTGTACCACTACTTTGGTTTTAAATACGGCCCTGTTTTGTTCTGCTTGGTGCAGCAACACTTACAAAGCAACGTGCCATTTATAGATGGTTACAAATTCAAGCCATTGTTTGGTTAATCCCCTATAATGTGTCATAAAATTTTTAGTAGGTTTTAGCAAAACGATTTTTCTACAGGGTGTTCCGTCTAAATCCCACTTTAGAAGTATTGGGAGTTGGAATAATCGTATTTGTTTGAAAATTGGTACATGGCCATAAACCATTAAGAACTCCTAAATGAAAATATTTTCAAGATGGCGGCACTTCCGGTTATACCGGAAGTCGGTCCCAACTTTCTTATTTTAAATGGAAAGGTATATATTTTACTGCGTTTTTGGATTAACTGGGTTATTTTAAGGGAGTTTTTATCAGCTTGCCCTATACCTAAATTTAGCCATTTTTGAAATATTTGGAGTTTTTCAAAAAAATTTCGATATGCACCTTCCACTTTAAAAATCGGTAACTCTGCTATTTTTAAAAATTTTGAATTCGTTTTTTTGGCGTTTGAAAAAGAAAGTTTAGATCTTTCTTTCGGTGTTTTCAAATTTTGAAAAAAATTAACAAACCATAAAATTTTAAGGTTACTTTTGTAAGAATTCAAATACCCATAACTCAATTTTTTCAAATGAAATACCCCAATTTTTATTTTACTAAATGGAGGAGAATTTCTTTCTGCATCGATCTGTATTAACATTTCCTATACCTAAATTTAATAATTATTAAGTTATGGTGACTTTTTGTTGAGACTGCCGAAAATCTGTTATTAGCCACATTCGTTTTCGTATAGTTTGCTATGGAAATAAAAAATGTCAAAATTGTTTCTCAATAAATGTCGACAGTGACTTATTATTTGACAAATAGTGCCAAAATATGGAGAGTCAAAGCTACTCAAACTTAGATTTAATTAATTTATTTTGTATTTATGGAGAGTGTAACAAAATTATGATATCGTTCATTAAACAAAAATAAGTTTTTCTCACTTGTTAGCTTTAAATGATGATTGGCATGGTAGAACCTATCAATAATAATTAAGTTTGCATAACTTTGATTCTCCATATTTTGGCACTATTTGGCAAATAATAAGTCACTGTTGACGTTTACTAAGAAACAATTTTGACATTTTTGATTTCCATAGCAAACTATGTGAAAACGGGTATGGCCAGTAATAAATTTTCTGTAGTATTAAAAAAAGTCCATAACTTGAAAATTATTAGATTTAGGTATAGGGAATGTTAATACAGATCAATGCACAATTAAATTCTCTTCTATTTAGTAAAATAAAAATTGGGGTATTTCATTTGAAAAAATTGAGTTATGAGTATTTGAATTATTACAAAAGTAACCTTAAAATTTTGGGATATGTTATTTTTTTTCAAAATTTGAAAACACCAGTAAAAGGATCTAAGCTTTCTCTTTCAAACGCCAAAAAAACGAATTTAAAATCTTAAAAAAAAGGCAGAGTTACCGGTTTTTAAAGTGGAAGGTGCAAATCCAAAAATTTTTGAAAAACTCCAAATATTTCAAAAACGGCTAAATTTAGGGTATAGGGAAAGCTGATGAAAACTCCCTTAAAATAACCCGATTAATCCAAAAACGCAGTAAAAAATATACCTTTCCATCTAAAATAAGAAAGTTGAGACGGACTTCCGGTATAACCGGAAGTGCCGCCATCTTGAAAATATTTTCATTTAGGAGGACTTATTGATTTATGGCTATGTACCAATTTTCAAATAAATACAATTATTCCAACTCCCAATACTTCTAAAGTGGGGTTTAGACGGAACAGCCTGTATACTCTATAGTAAGTTCGGTCCTAAAAATGTCTAGAAGAGACGATAGAAAAAGACTTCTTCGACCAAGAAAGCTTCAAAAGTTGGCGGACAATTATGGACAATTTTCTTCGGAAGATGAGCTTTCTCATGACTACGATAAAGATCCTCTCTATAAGACTTCATCTTCTGTATCAAATACAAAACATTCTCGAAATCGACAACGTTGATACGTCAAAGGACCAACCAGTTCAAAATGAGTCCATCAAAAGTGAACACGGTAACGATAGCGACAGTTTAGACCATCAAACAACCCAAGTACCTGGAGTTTCAGTCTGGGGTCCAGTTCGTTGCAAATCATACAAAAATTAGTCAATTTGCTGCATCTTCTGAGATTTAACCTACTATTGCCGCTTTACTTACAAACGAAGAGCCTGGAGTCTATTTACAAAAAAACAATTCAAAAAAATCAATTTCGGCGATACTTTAAGAGCGAACAGTGGTGAGCACATTAAACGCCTTAAGTTAAACATTTTGTTGATTTCGCAACTAAATTTTTGATTTAATTAACTATTTTGTTTAAATATAGTGGCTTTATTAAAAAAAAAAGGCTATCTTACTAACGTAATTACAACTTGTGCAAGTGCATAGGTCATTTAATTACATTACAATTTTTATCAAGAAAGAAATTGATAAATCTAAATCTTATTTGTGTTTATAATGCACTTTTAACGCTATTTTTCATTTTTATATTCCAATTTTAAAATTTCCTGGAATACTATATTACATCCAAGCTCATGGGTGTTCATGTGATGATTGTAAAAACGGCTTACAACGTCTTTTAATATTATTAGTCGTTTTACGTAAAAGGATACAAAAATATCTCTATAAAAGCAGTGCGAGTTGCTTCAGTAGACATCAAACACACAAATAAGTTGTTTGAAGTACCTACCTACCAGTAACTCTTTAACAAAAACAATGGCAACAACACCCTTAACAATTGTAGTTTTTACTGATGACAAGAAGCACTTTCCACAAAAAATGGCTCTCGCCGCATTCAAACAAATATTCCACTAAGTATTATTATTTTATTGTTAAACTTAATACAATTACAGTGAAAGCTCTCTTCAGAGACAGCTCTTATAAGCGGACATCTCTGATGACCGGACAATTTTTGTGGAACCAAATTTTTGGATATCAATTCCTATGTTAAATACGTTCTTAAAAGCGGACGCTCTGTCGGACGGACGCGGACACAACAATTTTCCCCAACACAAAACTCTCTCATGAATGGACACGAAGCTCCGCAAACGGACGCAAATATTTTTTTCTGTGTAAAATTGATTCCGAGAATTTCCCTTTGTACCTTGTTGTGTCTCTAAAACGATATTTTATACGCAGTATGTTATAAGTAGTCGTGTTACCTATGTTGCTACATAGCTATGGCACCCAGCAAGAAGACCTTTTTTACGTTAAGGCAGAAAATGGACGTGATTAATGTTGCCGAGCGGGAATATTCAAGTGTGCGCAAATTAGGTGAACGGTAGGTCATTATTTTGGCGTTTGTATTTTAAAAAAGTATAAGTTTTATTACAACTTCTTCAGCTTTAATAAGCAAAACACAAACCGCACAAACAAAAGGATAACATTCGTAGACGATGGCAATCTGGTGAAAATTTGGACCAAAAAACAACAAAACTGAGAAATGAATCAGCACAGATTGACAAGATTTGTTTTGAGTGGTTTGCTCGTGCTAGAAGCCAACACATTCCCATATCAGGGCCGCTAATAAAAGCCAAAGCAAAAGAAGTAGCTAGCAACTTAAAATATGATAAGTTTAGCGCATCCGATGGATGGCTACAAAAATGGAGGAGAAGGCATAATATCAGTTTCAAGTGTATCTCAGGTGAATCAGCGGACGTTAGTCCAGAAGATGTAAACCAATTTTTGCAAAAGTTACAAGCAATGCTACTTGGATACAAAAAAGAGGACATCTATAATGCTGATGAAAGTGGCTTGTATTTTAGAGCTTTACCAGACAAAACCCTGACATTAAAGGCCGAAAAATGTGTAGGGGGCAAAATGACAAAACAACGACTGACCATTTTGTTTTGTACTAATATGGCTGGCGAAAAGAAAAAACTTTTGGTTATTGGAAAAGCAGCTCGACCACGGGCATTAAAAAATGTTGCGCTTAACGATTTGTCCGCAACATGGACTTCCAACAAAAAAGCTTGGATGACAAGAATTATAATGACTGACTGGCTTCTTGACTTTGATAAAAAAACGAAAAATTTTGCTTTTTCTAGATAATGCTGGATCACACCCTAGGGAACTAACCTTGACAAACATTAAAATAATTTTTCTACCTTCAAACACAACATCTGTATGTCAGCCATTGGATCAGGGCATAATTCAAAATTTTTAATTTTTTTACCGTGGTCAAATTTTAAAACATATCCTCTCAAAAATAAATGATGTTTCGTCGGCCTCAGAACTGTCAAAATCGATTAATGTTCTGGAAGCTCTCTATTTTATTAAAATGGCGTGGAAGAAGGTGACTTCAAAAACTATTCAAAACTGTTTTGCAAAAGCAGGTTTTAAAAAATCTGAAGCTCAAGATGTTGACATGGAATATAATGCAGAAGACGAACTGCCTTTAGTAACTTTAGCAGAGTTTTGGAAAAACCTGCAGGAAGTTGACAAATCTGAAAACTATGATATCTTCATTAATTTGGATCAAAAGCTGTTAACTGAGGAGCCTTATGAAAATGAAATAACTAAGCAGATGAACGAAAATGATGCAACAGAAGAGATGGTTACGCAAGGGAGTAGTGATGAAGAAGAAGAAAATTCTGGTTCCATAACTTCCTACGAAAACGCTTTGAAAGTTATTGAAAACCTCAAAAACTTTTCAAAAAGAGATTTTTTTGCCTTCGAACAGTTAAAAAATATTGAATCTCATTTTCAAAATTGTTTTCTACAAGAAAAATCTAAAAACATTAAGCAGTTAAAAATATTAGATTTTTTTACAAAATAAGCTTTTGGTATGTCCAAACATAATGTTTTATTTTATATTCAAAGCTTTCTGTTTTGTTAAATGTAGATTTTAAAGTAAGTACCCACTACATACGAAATTATGTTAATTCAATCAAAAAATAATAAAGCACAGTTGAGAAATTTGTTTATGTATGTACTTATGGTTTTAATAATTTTTTATTCGAGCTTTCTTATTAGCGGACAGCTCCCATAAGAGGACAAAAAAGTTGGAACCGTCGGTGTCCGCTTATGAGAGCTTTCACTGTAGTTGTGTACAGGTACAGTGTGAAAAAAGTTTTAATTAAAGATGAAAAGATCTTAAGTTATTCACCAAAAGATAGTCCATTAAAAAAAATTTGGAAACTTAACAGTGCGATATATAAGAGCACGCTTTCAGGATGAAGATGAATTTAAGGTGTTCGAGAAGGTAGTAAAAAGGTACCGTTTCAATTTATTAGATGAGGACGTAGATAAGCTGCATAGAAAATTGAGGGTCCGCCAACTAAAAAACAAGTTGGATTTAAACCCTTAATGATTATACTAGCACTGAAGACGTGAAAGAAGATGATATTAAAGAAATTGAAAATAGTGATGGTACTTCAAAGCAATAAAATAATGTTTTAAGGTAAAGTCGAAGGTAAAATATAATTTTTATTACAGTAAATAAATAAAATACATTGAATTAAGATTAATTTTTATTTTACGTACCTTAATTACATTTAAGTAATATCTTTTTTATCTATTCAAGAATTGTGTTTTGAACTAAAACCTTCATCTTTATTTCATTTTAAAATCTTCTGAATCAAATAAATATCTGAATATTAGTAGTAAGGGCATGTATGGGACCATAAAAAAGACACTGGGCGGAGCCTGAGTGTGGTGGAGACATGGTGGAGGCCGGATGGAAGCGGAGCTTCCAAAGTGTCTCGACCAATCAGAAGCCTCGGCGTATGTGGTAGAGGTAAAGATGACGACGTTTTGGACGGGTTTGCGTTGTTTAACGCTCTGCGCAAGCGCGAGGCTTGTTAGGCTCGTTTACGACACACCTTTCGACCAACGAGATTTCTTTTAAATATTGTTACACACAGGCAGTACGGTGGTGATGGGGTGATGAACAATTCCAAAAATGTTAGTTTCAAATAAAGCGAGCAGTTATTTTTTTTTTGTATTGGTAAAAATGCGTTATTTTAGTCTCACTATTTCTGGTAAAATAAGTGTTTTTATGTAAACTGTTTACAGCAACCAGTTAGGCAACCTTTATTTTACAATTTATTTACAAATATCTTTGTTATTGTGAACAGTGCTACAAAACTGAAACACTAACTCATTATTTCTATAATCCTTGAGTTGATCAAAAGAATGAAGATGAAGAGTGCAAAACCCCAATACGACTAAAGACCAGTTTATATTTTATCGAAAACGGTGATGTGCCATCTAGTGCTGACTGCACTAAATTTTTAGTCTATACAAGTACCTAATAAATATTGTGCGTAAAAGACGATCTTTATGCCAAACGGTGAGGTGTCTGTGTTCAGTAAATGTTTAACGCGGATCAAAAGTTTTTGTGAACGTGTTTTAAAGCTAAAATTATTTCTACAAAGGTAAGTACCTGAATATTTGCTATTGTCATCAGCTTTCCCTGCAGTTTTATAGTTAAATATAAAAATTTGAAAGTCTCAATTTAGCTTGTATTTTAACCTCAAAAAAAAATAAAAACGTAGATATATGTTTTTTTCCTAATATAGAATACATTCGCGTTCTTAATGTTGAATATTCCAAATTAGGCCACGATTCTTCTAAATTTTTGTTTTCTGTCTCAGAATGTCGCCAAGAATAAAAATTCAATGAAAAATGCAATCGAAGCAATCCAGCGTAAGGAAATGGATTTTTTAAAGGTCCAAAAATGTTTTAATGTGCCCAGAGGAACCGTCAACCTCCGTAAGTTTTACCAATATGTTTGAATTATTTTAATTCTATTTATCATTTAGATGACATTGTAGTATGCCCTTTTAACAAAAATCATCTACTAGTATGGCATCGTCTTGAAAAACATATTTGGAAATGTCATCGAGAAGAAAAAGAGCAACAACTGTTAGACGAGAAAAAAAGAAGAAGAAACAAGTTGGGATCATTATGATGAAGTTAGCTATTTAGAGTATTTAAAAAGTAAGAAAAGAATGGAAGACCTTGAAGAATGAAGAAGAAAAGAAGAGGAGAGATATATAATAAATAAATAATAAGTTATAAAAAATTATAAATAAATAAATATTTTGAATACACGCAAGCCTTTATTATTTATAACAACAATCCACTAACTTAAATTCTAAAGCCGAAGTCATATTTATCGTGTTTTATTGTAGATTTGTATTCATTGTTAATATGTAACAACTGATTTGTTGTATGCCCATCCGACCGTTTTCGGCTCAGC